AGCAGTTCTGTGCTCTCCTGCAGGGTGGCCACAAGTCAAGATGGACTTGAAGACAACGAATATCGACATGATTATTTGTTATCTTTAGGACTGGGGTAGCAATGGTCCAAGTCTTGCCTTCCGTGAGAGATGGTTAGATCCAACTCCTGGCCAGTGCACCTCAGTGCAACCAACACGTGCGTGTGGCCACAATGCCCAGCGGACTGCAGCAGAGCCTTCCAGTGTAGACGAAGTAGAAAGAAAAGCCTGGCGATTACTCCGGACACTCGGTCAGTGAAAACCCAATTCTGCCTGAGGCTTCAGTGAGTCATTAGAGACTGCAGTGGCTTAAGGGACAGTGTGAGTCAGGGCCCACTGGATGGTGGCTAATAACAGAAGCAGTAAGGGTGACCAGCACCACGAGCTATTTTTTAAATATGACCAGACTAGCTCCGCAGCAACAGGACAGAGAGTAGTCACAGTTTTACAAAAGCAAGTGTGCTAAGGACCCAATGATTAATGTGAGCAGCGAGGGGGTGTGTGCATGTGTGCGTGTGTGTGTGTGTGTGTGTGTGTGTGTGTGTTGGCTGCCGCTCTGCATGAGGTTTCAGTGTTTGACAGTATTCGGATGCGATCCGTAAGGTTTCCAGTGGTCAATTCCTCTGAAGTGGATAGCCGACTCCTTCGTTGTCGTTTATTGAGATCTTAGTCTGGAAGTTCTGCTGAACCCTGTTCGCTTTGGGGGACCCTGCTAGTATTTGAAATAGCGGTGACATAGCTTGCAGCATCACGGAAGCTTTTCATGAGACTCCTGGAATTCCATTGATGAGTGACTTTGATCGCCTGGCTAACTCCTTCTGAAAACGGAGTTCCTCACTCTTACCCTGGGAAGAGGAACCGAACAAACACCACTGGGCTTTGGACTCATGGGTGTCAGGGTAGTCTGGTGCCCCATAGGAATCACCGTGGCTGTGAGTTTTCATAAGTAGATCTAGCCCTAACCCTAGCCCGAACCTCATGGTCAGTAGAATGCGGTAGCCAGTGATTCCTGGATGCTTTTGAGCTGCCTAACTTTCAGAACCAGCATTGAACCATTTATTCCACCCAGGGGCCTATGAGGAGGCAGTGGGATCATGTTTGAAGTCTCCCGGCATAGTCCTAAGCACACAGGGGACAGTGGATGTGGAAGGCTTCTTCCAGCTCCTTGAGCAAATCTCTGTGCTGGGGGGAAAATGCCTCAGGAGTTACAGACAGCCTTTCGAGGTGTTCAGAATAGCAAGCAGAGTACTGAAGGAGCTCCTCATTGGTGTAAAGCGAGCCTCTTGCCATCCACCCTCCCATCCCTGCCTCCCATCACCAGCCTCCTCACCCCCAGGCGTGTGGCCAGCAGGGCTGGATGGTTCGGCAAACAAGCTCTGGATCAATTCATTGACCACAAACTGGTGAGACAATGGGACCACCAAGGGGCCTTGCTTTGCCCACTAGAGTGAAGGTCGGGAGTCAGGTGCATTAAGAAATGGAAGCAATTTTCTTCCCCCTGGAGGCTTCTATTAGGCATGATTGCCTGCATTTAGATGGACCCTAAACTCTCCAGGGCTGAATTAAGGCAGGATCACAAACAAAATCTGGGGAGGAACCTGGCCCTGGACTGAAACTAGAGCCAAGAACTGCCTCTTGACACTTTGCCTTCGGAGTTGTCCTAAACTGTAAGCCACACCGCATTCACTTATGCCATAGGTGAACCTTCTCAAACTTCCTAATGCCATGACCCTTTCATACAGTGCCTCATGTTTTGGTACCCCTTCAACCATCAAATGATTTTCGTTGCTACATCATAACTGTCATTTTGCTGCTGTTATGAGTCGGGTGACACCTGTGAAAAGGTTGTTCAACCCCTAACGCGGTTGCAGCCCACAGGTTGAAAACCGCTGACCTATTGAGACCATCGCCCTCTCAACTATGGCTGTATCTGCTGGGTGAACAGCGTCTGCTTTTCCTGCTTATCCTTTCTTCTATCCACGCTCTTTCCTCCGTACCTACTGCCGCTGCTTTATTAGGCCTCCTATCCCTCTTTCATCCATCCATCCATTTTATTAGGCAATATTTATTAAGTGTTGGACTGGGCCCAAGAGTCCCTGGATGATGCAATGTTAATGCTCTCAGCTGCTAACAGACAGGTGAAGATTCAATTCATCGAGAAGCACCTCAGAAGAAAGACCTGGTGATCTGTGGCTGCATAAAATCAGCCATAGAAAACCGTATGGAGCAACATTCTCCTCTGACAGTATGGAGACACCACGATTCAGAATCCATTTGATGGCACCTTCATGGTTAGTCTACTAAGCTCTTGGCCAACTCTAAAATCAGAGAACTGGAGAGTTCATAGCTCTGGCCTTCAGGAACTTATAATCTAACCAGAGAAGGAAGAAGAGGGGCCTACACATATTAAAAAAAAGTAATAATGGTCATAAAGATAAGCACGAGGGTAGACTTGGCATTCTGTCCACTTGGGAGGTCTGGAAATGCTTCCTATCAAAGGATCCAGTAGATGTGAATGGTTTGATAGGTTTAGAGTGGGCAAGTAAAGTTATAACAATAGTCCTATATTTTCCCCAAAGATCTGTTTCAAAGTATGTGTTCAGCAAGTGACTGCTGAGTTGAACCTGCATGAACGTATCTGTGTGTGTGTCAGGACAACACCTGTCCTGGTATCCCACTGGGGCTGTAACAAAATACCCCCTGTGGTTGGTTTTAAAGGACAGACATGCACTTTCTCACACCTTCACAGGCTAGAGATACTTATTCGGGATACTGGCTCTAGAGAAAGAATGGCCATCCCAAGACTGTGGAAATGGAGGTTGTTGAGCTTTGGGTGGGACCCCTGGTTTAGAGGAGGTCGAATGAAGAGTGCCCCAGAACCACCATCTATTTAGTACTTCAATTCTCCCCTTACATTTATATGACAGATATCAATCTGCTAGGCAAGGATCTGCCCTTGGAAGAAAGGGTACAGGGAGTTTTCCTGTACCAGCCCCCATGCTCAATGTGAGCAGAGTTCAATCAAGTACAAAAGCAATCTGAACAAAGCAACAACTTATGGATTGTAGCTCACAAGTGGACTGTACTTTCAAAAACTCCTCATATCATCAGTACCTTAACTTCTAGGGCATTGGATAAATTATTGATGTTACCAGTGCAATTGCCTTATAATCTAGAGGGACGATTGACAAATGTTTTTGTTTTCTTTTATATTTTGCTTTTCTTGGTTTGTTTGGGATTTTGTTGGTTGGTTTTGGTTTTGGTTTTTGTCATAAGACACCTGCCAAACTAAACCAGAGTCATTCAAAACCTGTGGACAAGCAGATGGATTCTGGGCTCCCATGTGATTCTAGCCCCAATCCAAGAACACGTATCACATGGCCCTGCTTGATACTCTCTTTCATGAAGAGATCACTGAAGATAATGGTGCTACAGCAAAGTGTGGTGAAGAAAGCAGATGGTGCCCAGTTATCAAGTGGAATAGTGTCTGGGGTCTTAAAGACTCGTATTCGAACAGCAGCCATCTAAGCAAGGAGCCAACGAAGTCCAAATGGAAGAAGTACACCAGTTTGTGTGATCCATTGATGACGATAACAAAATCCAAATATGAGGAAGGTAAAAGGATCAGAGATTAGATTGTGAACACAATTTGTAGAAGGCTATGGAGGACAGAGGGAGCCCAAAATCCATCCGTAAAGCATCTAGTCCGAGTCAGCCTCGGGCAGATCCCCTCTGCCAGTGAGGGACTCAAACAGCTTTACTATCAGAGGAGACCAGTGTAAACTTGATTGTGGTGAATTGAACCATGGTGTAATTTGATACTTGGTCAGTTGACCTCGCTCTTGAACAAATCTGCATTTGCTCTAACCTCAAATATTTCTTGTTTGCTCCAAGACAAAAGTTTTTCCCTAGCTTTTAAAATATTGTTGGTGGTCATTTCTTTCTTTCTATTTCTTTTTATCTTTACATTACTCTTTTTCTTTTTGTTTCATTTGTTTACCCTGTTAAGCTTCCCAGTTTAGGAAGCACAGAAGGAGTGAATTCATAGAAACAATAATGCATGCAATGGTTTATCAAGGATGGGGAGTAGGAAGGGTGAGGGGAGTTGGAGGGCAAATGATGAATGTTGGGAGGTGCACACTAGAACTGAGTGTGATGATGTCTATATAACTTTTAATTGTGGAAGAGTATGACATGTGAATATTATATCAAGAAAACTACTAAAAAAAAGAAGAAACCAAGCTTGACCAATGGTTGCCATGGGTGAAAGAGGAAGCGTTTTGGCTTAGGGAACATTGAGTTTATGTTAATGGTGGTGGAATAATTTGAAAAAAGATACCAATAATGGTTGTACAACAAAAAGTGTATAATCAATGACACTGAATTGTACATGTAATGGTTGTATTGGAGAATATTTTGTTGTGCATTTTTGCCACAATTTTTAAAAATTAGATGAAAAAACAATGAGCACAAGGAAGAAGAATATGTTCTAAAATTGATTACAGTAATGAGTGTACAACTCTTCTTGATATGACTGAATGGCTGAACTGTAAGACATGTGACTGACATGGCAATGAAACTGTTAAAAATCAAAATAGAACAAATTTTAAATGGGCCAAAAGGGAGATACAATGATAAAGTGTTAAATTTCAACCTAACTGCTTCTGCAGCAATCCACTTTCCCCTGCACTTGCATAATAGCAAGGTGAGAGGGGATTCACTGGCGGCTCAATGCACATTCGACACACATTTGGAGGGGACACAGCTCGATCTATACCAATGGGGGAGGTACAGAGAGGATGGGGTACCTGTGTGGCTGTGGACTCGGCACTCATTCACATGCTATAGCATTCATTCAGTCCATTCCTTTCGTGTGAATCCACGTGGTCTCTGGGCACTCACCTCTGCCGATCGCTGGGTAGCCTTGCCTTCTTTATCAGCTAACCAGGGATTTCTCTCTAAGTACCTTTCTCCCCATCCAGGCAGAGCCTCTCTATGAACTGGTGACAGCCGCCGACTTTGCGTATTCCAGCACAGTCAAGCGGAACATGAAGCAGGCCCTGGAAGAGTTCCAGAAGGAAGTCGGCTCCTGCCAGTGTGCTCCCTGCCGAGGGAACGGAGCCCCTGTCCTGAAAGGTACCATCGCCCAGTGTCCCTCACGGAACCCATCATCTTGAGGAGGCGGCTCAGGGGCCGGCTGCTGGCCGGCTTTCATTTCCCAAGGAGTCTGAAAGTATCAGGATACACGACTTGGGCTGCGAGGGCGCCTACTAACTCCTAGTGACAGAGGCGTGGCAGTACCATCAATCTGAAGACAGAGGTAGACTGGGCTCTTGTGGCCTGCAACAAAGAGTAGGGCTGGACTGGCCAGGTTTCTCCCAAACAAAGGAAGGGTGGGGCTGAACAAGAGGAATCCTTTGCGCATGCCCTGACTAACACATGGTGAGACTAATGCTTGGTGGGACACAAGGGTAGCCACTGGAACTTGATGGCCAACTTCAATAATCATGTCCGTGGTGCCTGCAATGGGCAGAATAAACGGAGAGGTGTTGGGTCCCAGCTGATGGGCCAGCGAAGTACAGGGCAGCACAAGGCATCCGGCACGGGCCTCTCTAAGGGACTGAAGGGGCTGCAAACAACGTCGGTGACACTGTCAGGGGGATGACACCCAAATGGCAATCTGTAAAATGTCTTTGTGATGTTTCAGCTGAGATTTAATGACCTTTTCTTACAACATCCCTGAGGAGTCCTGGTAGTATAGTGGTAATATGTTGGGTAGCAATCTGCAGGGTCGGCAGTTCGAAATGACCAGCAGCTCCGGGAGAAAAACTGGACTTTCTCTTCCCCTAAGCAGCTACAGTCTCAGAAACCTACCAGGCTCACTGGGAGTCAGCACTGACTCAGCAGCAGTGAGTCTGGGTCTTTGGTAGCTTAGTTATAACAACAAAACCAGCGGTTCATAAGCCTCGCTGGCATACATCGATATACCTACATGCAGTGGCTAATGACCTAAGCGAACTTATTTTCCGAGCCTTCTGATATGCTCTGGGGGTGCAGATTTATAACCATCTGAACCAAGGGTCAGCGGTTCAAATCTACCAGCCTTTCTGTGGAAGAAAAATGTGGCAATCTGATTCCATAAGGACTGCGGATTGGGAACCCCGAGAAGCAGTCCCTCTGGGTCCCATGGTGTCACGAGTTGCCATCAACTCGATGATGATGGGGATGTGCTCTCGTCAGAGCTGTCGGTTACAAGGTCCCCTGGAGACCTGCGGTCTCGTGTGCAGGTGCTACAAGGACGCAGGCAAGCATGTGTTATTGCTTTCATGGCTGACGGGGGTTCTAATAGCTGCTTTTGTCACATGTTCCAGTGCTTCTGCTGCAATATTTCAGTAAGTAGCATGTGCATGTCTGAATCATTAACATTTTTGTGAATGAAGGAGTGAGGAAAGGAAAAGAAGGAGAACATTGTATGCATGACATAACCAATAGCTCAATGCAAACAGTTTTCACAAAACACGTTTGCTGTTGGTACTCAGGCACTCTAAGGAGGAGAACATGTGAGCAATGTGCAACTGTCTTTATGTATCATTCTACAACTAGAATGGATAAGAAATATCACTGAGGGTTCTGTATGGTCTGGTATGGGTGGAGGTCCATGAGGAACCGGCTAACACCCTGAGAGACACCAACCCTTGTGAAGCTACTATCCTCTGGACCTGACCCCAGCAGGGTCTAGCCTAGGGAGGCAGGTGGAGGCAGGGCAGAACCCACATGGGTGAATTCAGCAGAAAGTACATGAGAGAAGACAGTTTTTCAGGGAGAAAGCTTCCAGCCACCAGGCCGGGATTGAGGAATCTGTTTCTAGCTTCTCAGACAGCATGAGTATGCCCAAAGAGGCCATAGGTGAGCTCCTTTGTAAGGCCTGGCAGTCCAGTCCTAAGAATAAGGACATCTCAGTGAGGGTCAGGCCAACCGGAAGTGAAGTTGGCTCATCTGCTCAAGATTTTGACTTTGAGTTGTTGGAACACCTTCCAATACCCCTTACCTTGGGTAAAATTTGAAGCTAGAAATTAGGACCCACTTGAGGTTGCAGGGTTAGGATGAGGGATCATATGGAGCCAAGGGCAGGGACACTCACAGAGCCTGACCCATGGAGACTCTTGTGCAAAGAGAGTCTGTGTGGTTTCAGAGAAGAGTAGCCCTATAGTGCCAACATGTCAGAACTCACCAGACACAGGAGGAGACAGCTAAAGGTCATACGTTGCCCCATTACATGAATAAAGCACAGAAGAGACAGGTATGTGTGTGGAAATTGACCATTATAGAGTGATCTCTAACGAACATCTAATCTTTTGTGAAACTATATCGTATTGCGTTTGTGGTGAAACTATACACAGCAAAACTTGCTCCCACTCATAAGTGTTTAGCAGACATTTCACATCTCATTGAAAGCTGTCGTGTTCTGCACATTGTGACGATGTTCTTGCTGTTTCTGTTCTAGTTGGTCTCTTCCTATTAACATAGTCGCATTGCCCCTCTCTCTGCTTGAGACCATAAGTTCCCAAACTCACTTGTCCTACTGCCCCCTTTTCAGAAAAGCTGCACTCAGTACCCCCGGCAACTGAATCCTTGTTTTCTGTACCCCATCATCCAGGATAAAGTATGGGCATTTGTTTTTGCAGCCCTCTTGGTTGTTCTAGCACCCACCAGAGGGCGATGTAACCCACTTTGGGAAACCCTCCTTTACCAAAGTAACTCTTGTCTTTTTGGTCTCATAAAGATTTTGTTTTTTTTAAGAAGACCGGAATAACCCAAGGATGGTGCTCTTAACTTTCTGAACCAACCTAGGGAGCTTCCGATCTTGTGACCGTGGGTCAAACACCCGCCAACAAGTGGTTTACCTCCACTACTGCATGTAACCGGTCACTAGTGCAATGAACACTCTTTCACAAGCCAAGGGCCCTCAAGAAAGTAATGGGTAGTCTTGGCACCGAAGCTTTTCACTGCAAAGCAGTCAAGTGTAAGTTGTCCCTGTCGCCCGTTGGGGACGCGACGCTGTGGAGCACTGGGCTCCAGGAGTCCTTTGCATGGAGAGACTCACGTTCTCCCTGTGTCACCTTTTCAGGATCACGCTGTGACTGCATCTGTCCCGTTGGATTCAAAGGCCCAGCCTGTGAGGTCACCTCGCGGAACAGTAAGGAATCTTTGAGACTCTGCTGGAAAGGGGAACGCTGGGCACATGTAGAGAATAATTAAAGAAACCTGAAACAAGTTGCAGGTGCATGGTAGGAGGCTGGACATTATAAAACTTGAGATGCACCCTGTGTCCTGAGTTTCTATCTCTTTGTCTTTACAAGTTGGAGAGCTTGGATGACAGGCCTACAAATGCATATCTGTTTACTTCTGTTTGTTCAAGACGAGGCTTTCTACTCCCATAGAGTTACAGTCCCAGACACTCACAGGGGCAGTTCTACTCTGTCCTATTAGGGTTGCTACAGGTCACCATCAACTCAATGTCAGTGAGTATTATTGTTAGGTTTTTGTTTGTTTGTTTTCAAATAAATAATCAGGTGAAAGGCAAATGTTGGAGGATGAGAATCACCTGTGCTGGTTGTCAGGTAATTTAGAGCACGCGATCACACAATGCTCGTGGTAGATAATATTACATCCAGGTAGGCTGAGGACAAGTTAAATAACTACCCATAAACCTGGGGAGTATCTGAACTAGAAACCAGAGATCCAGACAGCAAAGGGCTGTCTGTGTCTAGCCCAGATACTGGGGCACAATCATGAGCATGTGGTGTAATCTCAGCGAATGCTCTTTAGAAGGAAAGGTTAAAATTGTAGAGTCGTCCCAGAAATACCTTTACATTTGCAATTGTCACCCTGTTACAAAATACTCTTGAGAGTTTAAAATAGGGAGATTTGATGAGGAAGAGGGTGTCAAAGAACGCTTCGCAATGGAAAGAACACTTGAACTGAAATCTAGAAGATGAATAGAAGTTGGCTAGGTGAGGAGAAGGGAAAGAGTGCTCTGAGCCTGTGCAAAGGTCCTGTGGCAAGAGGGAGCAAGTCAAGTACCTTGGCATCAAAGAAAGACAGCTGACTAGAAGAGGAAGAGTTGAGGTTCTGACTCCCAGTTTGATTAATGATTAGGGTATATCCATCATCTCCAGTTGGGCACAATAAGACTAATTAAAATGTGTTGCCCTCCTTTCTTATAGATGTTCCCGTTGATGGCAAGTGGAATTGCTGGTCAGAATGGTCTTCCTGCTCTGGGGGACAGAAGACAAGACAAAGGCAGTGCAACAACCCACCTCCTCACAATGGGGGCAGCCCCTGCTTGGGCCCTGATTCCGAAAGGCTGGCGTGTTAGGAAACAGTGAGCTCCCAGCAGACAACGGAGCGGCAGGCTGCGCAAGGGGAGCATCCTGAGCATGTGCCAGCAGGGCCCCTGCTCACACCCCCACCAGCTCCCAAGGGAAGAAAGAGAGGTCACTCAGGATGTTTCAAATAAAGATGTTAATTTGGAAAATGCACGTTGATTTAAATAAATAGTAAGTTAAAAAAGATAAGCTCCTTCATGGGCTTAAGTATCCTGGTAATCCTTACTTTGGACAACTTTATTTGCTAACATTTTCTACCTGCCAAGACTGATCTGTTTTGAGAGTTGTTCAAACTAAAGTCTCATAATCCAGCAACACCTCGCACTGGCACACAGGTGTCTAATAATGAACCGATAAGTAGATAGTACGTTGTTTCCTTGCTTGATTAATCCACTGTCTCCTTCAATGATAAAGACATTATTTACTGAATGACTACTTTGTGATAGTCAATTTGCTAAGTGTGTTAGCTCATTCCATCCTCATGGCCAGTCTACAAGGTGGTGGTGGTGGTGCTGTTAGCTGCTGGTGAGTCCGTTCTGACCCCTAGTGACCCTCTGCATAACACAACTGCTTGGTCCTGTGACAGCGTCACAATTGTTCTTAAGCTTGAGACTATTGTTGCAGACACTGTGTCAATCCAACTCATCCAAGATCTTCTTCCTCTCCACTGTCCCTCTACCAGGAGCTGGTCTATTCTGACAATATGTCTACAGTACACGAGACCAAGCCTCACCAGCCTTGCCTCCAAGAAGCAGTCTGGCTGCACTTCTTCCAACACAGATTTGTTTGTTCTTTTGGCAGTCCATGGGACTTTCAATATTCTTTGCCAACACCCTAGTTAAAAAGGAGCTTCTTTATTCAACGTCCAACTTTCACATGCATAGGTTGTTGTTAGATGCCATTGCGTCAGCTCTGACCCATAGTGACCATCTGCACAACAGAATGAAACACTGCACGATTCTGCGCTATCCTCACAATTGCTCCCAGGCCTGAGCCCATTGATACAGGCACTGTGTCATGATGTCCTTCTCCAGGGACTGGTCTCTCCTGACAACATGTCCAAAGTATGTAAGATGAAGTCTTGGCATCCTTGCCTCTGAAGAGCACTCTGGCCTTAGTTCTTCCAATACAGATGGGTTTGTCCCTTTAACAGTCCACAGTATTTTTAATAGCCTTCTCCAGCGCCACAGTTCAAATGCATCTAGTCTTCTATGGTCTTCCTTGTTTGATGTCCAACTTTCACATGTATGTGATGCAATGGCGAATACTGTGGCTTGGGTCAAGTGCACCTTAGTCCTCAAGGAAACATCCTTGCTCGTCAATCCTCTAAAGAGGCCTTGTGGTGCAAATTTGCCTAGTGCAATAGGCAATTTGATCTCTTGACTGCTGCTTCCATGAGCGTTGATGGTGAATCCAATAAAATAAAATCATTGACAACTTCAACCTTTTCTCCATTTATCATGAAGTTACTACCTATTGGTCCAGTTGTGAGGATTTTGGTTTTTGTTGAAACATTTCAATTGGTATTCCATCAAATCCAGATAAGGTACGTTCAATTATTTGTTTTCTCAAACAACTGGAGAAAGTGAGACTTAGGTCCGTTAGGGGGCTGGTGTGAGGTTGCACAGGAAATGGCTGTAAGCCTGGACTGCCAAGCCCCACACTCCCACCTGTCCCAGGCAATCTGATGAACAAAGACATGTATCTGAGCTCAAGACGAGGCTGAAGAGGAAGCACTTCAAGGGGAATTTTAAGTGGATATTGTGGAGTGTGCAATTTAAAGTCTCCTCCTGTCCCATCCTCCCCGTCGCCCTTCCCTCACAAATCTCTCTGTACATCCTACCCTGCCCACGAATATTTTTCTGAAAAAAACACTTGACAGAAAAGGGAGTTTAAAAAGGAGACTTTTCACTGCCATTGAGTCAATGCCGACTCATAAAGACCAGATGGGGACAAGGTAGAACTGGGTGTCCCCTGTGAGTTTCTGAGACTGTAACTCTTTACTTGGGCAGAAAGCTCCTTCTGCTTCCGCCAAGCTGCTACTGGTTTCAAACTGCTGACCTTGTGGATTGCAGCCCAATTCATAACCACTATGCCATCAGAGCTCCTCAAAGAGGAGACTTAGGAGATGGTTAATTACCCAAACCGGGTAGAGTGAACTGATCACTAAAGCTTGATCTCTCGCATGGCTCCATATATATTAAAGCATCCCTTTGATTGCCCTTTCCTCTTGGGCGCTTCCTTTAGGACTGCAAAGCTTTCGGTGAGTTTGTTGAATTCAAACAGCTAGTGAAGGAAAGGGGGAGGGGGAAGCAAAACAAAACTGCCGCAGATGAATCCGTTCATTCCTATCCATTTCAACCAATTTATTTGCAGCCCACCAGTCTGCTTCCAGTTTACCGCTTGGCTCAGTCAGGGCCCTGAGTTTTCTTGACATATCCCGGATGCCAAAGAGTTGGGCTGTGTCCCCTCTAATCTGTCCCAACCAGATAGCTGGGATGAAGTCAGTAGAACTGACTGCTTCCTTCTCAGGCCATGTGGGCCCAGGTGTGTGCGTCTGGCTATCTCCTTGCACCCCTGAGCCCCTAGCAATTCAGCTGACGGGCTTGGGGCACTTGTTTGCCTTCATATTATTGCTCTGCTGTCTGCTGTTATTTCAACAGGCTAATCCAATAATGTTTTATCTCTTTCATTATACCGAGGCCATATAATTTTCCTGAGTTATAATCTATCTTCTTTTAAGATTCCCCAGAGACGAGGCAGAGCGGTCTGTCTTTGGCTGACGGGAGGCTCCCACGAAGCAGCCGAAACACGCTGAAGCGAGCGGCGCCAAATTAAATTCCGAATCTCAATCACAGCCACCGCTTCTAATGCGAAATTTGAGTTGATTATGGAGATGACAGCCCAGGTTCACGTTTATTGCATTTAGCAGAAATTGTTTATCCTATTAAATACGGTCTGGAAGGCGAGACGATTGAATTGTGGAGCACTGGTGAATACTCGGGTGACACCCAGGCATGGTTAAGCTGTGTAATAATTATATTCTTATTTGTGGGCTGAACTTCCCCTCGTGGCTCTTTTTACAAACAAATACGTTTAGGAGGAGGCTGGAACATAATGTAAGAATTAAACAAACTAAATGCTAACTGTGCTTTTGGAAAAACTTGGCAAGTGCAGCCCACACCAGTATTCCCAAGGAGCTGTGTGTCTGCCCAGCAGGGCCAGGCTGCTGAGCTTGGCAGTCGTCCTGGAAGCTTGAACACGTCACAGCTACCTGGATGGGGGAGAGCTCCACAGTTAAGCCCGGGGACCCTTTGAAATGCCGTGTGCCCACCGTGTGCTGCCTATCGGGGTGGGCAACTCTGTGTCAACCCTCTCCGCAGGACCTTGGGCTAATCACCTAACTTTTGTGGGACTAATCGTTATGATCATGATGACAATCATAATCATCATAAGAGCTGTCAATTATAGTGTGCTTCCCCGTTTATTCCGTCTTTTAACCTGCACTGACTCACTTCATCCTTACCGGTGTGTGATGAGGCTAATATTAGTATATAGTCATCAGATGACACTGGGCGGAGGCTTCAAATGCATGGGAATCAAGGTGGGAATCACTCCGGGAAGAAGAGGGCTTGCTGGCAGAGGAGGCAATGGGAGGGGCTATTTTGGTTTTGCGTCTTCCGCAACCAGACTCCGGCTTGCTTTGGCAGTACTTACCACGCATTGAGTCAGTCCATCATGGCGACCCCACGTGTGTCGGAGTAGAACTCAACTCCGTGGGGGTTACAGGAGCGCACTTTTCAGGCAGCCCTTTCTTCCACGGTACCTGTGGGCGGACTCCAACCGTTAGCCTATCAGGTAGTAGCCAAGCACGTCATCATTTGCATCACTTGCACACTCTGGTCTGCTGCCAGGCATTCAATAAAGCACCACAGGGAGTGAAGGGGCCAGACGCAGAAAGCCCTGAGCATGCTGCCCCGCTCCCCTTGGGACATGCACAATCAACACCTTGACCAAAAATCCTGCACGCAGCTGCCCAGCCACCTGTGCGCATAGAGAGTGAAGACAATTCTTAGTTCACCCCCAGGTCTCACCATAATTGTCTCTTGCAAGTGCGCTTCCCGGACCCCATCTGTTTTCTCTGCTTCCAGTTGACCCGGTCCTATGCCGACAAAACACTCATCACACGCTAGGGAACATTCAGGAATTCTGCAAACGCAGTGCCCCCTGATATGACATGTAGGCATCCTAACCTGAATTCATGTGAACGTCCTCCTATTTGGAAATAGGATTTTCTTTGTTATTTCAGTTAGGTTGTAGGAATATGAGGCAAGTCCTAAACTCACCTAACATTACATTTCTTCCCACATTCTAAGGCCCCCTGGTGGCACAGAGGTCAGCAATTTGAAAGCACAGCTACTCGGAGCAAGGGTGAAAAATAAAGTTTTCTACTCCCATAAAGAGTTATAATCTCGGAAAGCCACAGAGGCAATTCTACTCTGAGTCGCTATGAGTCAGTCTTGACTCAATGACAGTGAGCTTAGTTTGTTGTGTACCCCCATCCCCGCCATTGTGCCGCGGCTTCAGTAGGCCCTACCTCATCTGTAGGTTCATTGAATTTAGGATCCCACCCAAAATTCTAACAGCAACCCATCAGAGGAGGACACTTTAGGCCTCTGAGAGTCTGATTTAGTTATGACATCAGGTTTTCTACATATAAAATATTTTCCCTTTTGAGTTATTCTTCAATGTCAGATAAGATTCTAATCCTGAGCTATTTAGATGTCCTGGGATCCATTTATTGAGGTAGCCATGGACAATGTCATGCCCCTGTCTGCAGAATTAGGAATGCCTCAACAAGAGAGGGAGAAGTGTGTGCTCTGGAGCCTGCCTGCCAAAAGAGTCCTGCTAGCACGGTGGGATGGTGTTGAGCTGTTCACCACAAGATCTGCAGTTCAAACCCATCACCTGCTCCTTGGGAGAAAGATGAAGCTGTCAGCTTCCATGAAGATTTACGGTCTCAGAAAACGACATAGAGTTTCAATGAGTTGGAATCGACTGGATGTCAGTGGGTGGGTGGGAGCCAGGCCCCCTGCATTTGAACTCTGGTACTGTGACTTATTCAAGTCCCTGAGTGGTACACATGTGTGCACAGTAGCCCAAAGGTGAGAGGTTCAAGTCTACCCAGAGGGGCTGCTGAAGGGAATGACTGGCTACCT